GGACTTAAAGAAAGCCAGGGAGGTCAGTAGTTGGAGAGGAAGACAGAACACGCCAGAAATGGGGGACAGCCAGAGAGAATGCCCAGAGCAGAGAGATGGAGTGTCTTTTGCATGGAACAACCAGGAGGCCAGTGTCACTGAATTAAAAAGAATATTTTGGGGAATAAGGTGTCAGAAGACTAGAAAGGTATGAGAGGGCTAGGTTATGAAGGGTTTTGAATGCCAAACAGAACATTTGGTATTGCATATGATTAACAAGCATAGTGAATTCTGCACAGAACAGACTCTCAGTCTTTTTTCATTCATATTCAAGTCAGCTGACTTTCCACTGTACAGCTTCAGTCCACAGGGATCCTACCTTTCTTTCCTCCAAACTCTTTGAAATCTGGTTCCTAAAATCTGAATTGTTAAGTCAGATTATACTTGGCTTTCCTCTTGTTTTCTATCACTAAATATAGGGGGAAAGGGTCACTTCTCCCCAAGGATGCCATTATTTCCAACCCAGCAACCAGTTCCTATTAGCGGTAATCAGATTTGGTATAGATTTCCCCTGTTGCTTCCTCCTCCTTTTGCAGAATAAAATTACAGGTTCATAGGACCATAGATCCAAAGCCAGCAGGGACCTCTGAGGTCATTCTGTACAACCCCATTTTAAAGATGAGGAAAGGTCCATAAAAGTTGAGGGACTGGCCCAACGTCACACAAGGTAGTGAGCAGAAGAAGGGAAGAGATTGAAACCCAAGTCCTAGTGGCAAATCACTACTGCCTCTTTGTTGTTTAATACAAGTCTAGAGAGAGGTGTTCAGTAGATGTCTGGATAAGTGGAGTCCCCCACTACTACCATACAAAACCTCTGAATCAATTCTATAGTAGACTGAGGGAAAAAAAATCGCTCCTGCTCCCACTGCTTTTCACCCAAACATTTTCTATTCTGTTCCCCTACTCAGGGTCTTGGACCCCCTCATGTGACTGAACAACACAACCAAACCCTCCTTCCCCCACTACTCATCCTTTTGCTATCCTACTTCTTTTGGATAAGGTCTTTCATTCTTTCAGAAACACATTCCAGCTAACACCACCATCACCATAATAACTCACTTTTCTATAGCGCTTTGAGGTTTGCAAAGCATTTTACATGATCCTCACAACAAACCTATGAGATAGGTGCTATTATCCCCATTTTACAGATGAGAAACTGTGACCACAGGAAGGAGAAGAGACTTGTCCTGAGTCACACAGTTAGTAAGTGGTCTGAGGCAAGATTTGAACTTGGGTCTCCCCTGACACCAAGGCCAGGGCTCTATCCCCTGCACCACCTAGCTATCCATGAATCCTGGGTCCCATCACTCAGCAGTTCCTGTGAGGCTTTGCCTCCTTGTGTTAATAAGGAATCTAGTTCCTGCTTGCTAGCTAAACTCTGGGCATCTGTGTAGAGATATTTGAGATCAAGAGCTTTATTTAGTACTGGCTCCTTTCTTAGTGAATCACCAGTGATTCTTCCCACATCTGACTTGCTAAACATGCTCTCTTATACTGTGTCAGCATAAGCCCTGCTCCTATCTCTGGGTAAAACTTAGCTTCATACAGGCCCATGGGTTCACAGTTAGATCCTGCAATCCTTTATCTTTGGTAGCAGCCATAATTCTTGCTCACTAGCCTCTTTCCCCTCCTTTCTTTTGTGGGCTAGGTGATGTAGTGAATGGATTGCTGGATATGGAGACAGAAGACCCCAGTACGAATCCTGCTTGAGACACTGGCTTCCTCATCTGTAAAATGGGGATAATAATAGCACCAACTTCTCAGGGTTGTTGGGAGAATCAAATGAGATAACATGTAAAAAGCACTTTGCAAACCTTGAAGTATAAATAAATGTTAGCTATTATTATGATGATTATAGTTCAACCTGGATAACCAGTCTTCAACACTTTAGATGTTGTCTCCGTGTCACACACAGACCCAAAGGCAGAACAGCAAACAAACATTGCCTTAATGGTAACTTACGTGACTGCCCTAATGATATCTTACATATTAATTACATGGATGCACCCTACAGTGGAAACTGGGCTGGATTTACAACTGGAGAGCCCATGCTAAAATCTACTGTAGCTCCAGATAATTGCCTTCTGGGCCATCTCAGAGATGCAAGACACCACAATATGTGAACTGATGAATCAAAGGCCCTGAATGAGTGTTAAACTTGCTCACTATCCCTACAGTAGGTTTTGGAACTTGAAGAATGGTTCATGAGAGTTTAATCAAAAATCCAGGCCATCAAATGACCTCAAGACAACCCAGGAGGGAAGAGTCTCTCAGACTTCAAACCCATGGCCATCATCCTGACAATGGCCAAGTAATTTAGAGACAGAACTCCCTAGGTAGGCTCCTATTCGTATTTGCTGTTGTTCAGTCATTTTAGTTGTATACAACTCTGCATGACTCTATTTGGAGTTTTCTTTTCAAAGATACAGGAGTGGTTTGTCAATTCTTTCTCTAGCTCATTTTACAGATGAGGAAACTGAGACAAACAGGGTTAAGCGACTTGCCCAGGGTCACACAGTTAGTAAGTGTCTGAGGCCATATTTGAATTCATGAAAATGAATCTTCCTGACTCCAGGCCCGGCACTTTACCCACTGGGCCACCTAGCTGCCTTCCCCCACTGTCCATATTAAGTGGTTACTATCCTGAAACCCTTCCATATAGTTTTAATTGCTTTTCACTCTCCTTTGCTTTCATCCCTAAAACCTTTCTTTCTGTCTCCCCAACTATAACTTCAGAGAAAATTGTTCACTTGGGCCCAAACAGCCTCATAGCACCTGAAATCCCAAATTAAATCTCTTCCATTCTCTACTTACCTTCCCTTAGCAGACCTCAAGCAGGTGGTCAAGGGTGGGCATTTCAATACTACGCCTCTCATCCCTTTCAACCAGTTACAATGCCCCAAAATCCCAACGTCTAGCTCTGGAAGTACTAGTAATAGATAGCATCTCATTCCCTACCAATCACCATCCCAGAGTCCCAGAAAACTGAGAGATCGTTTCTAATATGCATTAGAGATGGGACTTTTCCTAAGTCAAAGGGGAAAGCTGGGGAGCCACCTCTGGAGTTGTCACATCACGACCTCAATTACTATGCAGACTTGTAATACCACAGACCTTCCTCCTAATTCCAATCCTCCTGAGGCCTCAACTGGTTGTAGAGAATATCCTCTAATAAGACCCGTTGAGACACGTAAGTATTGTACACAGGTTTTCTCCTTTTCCCTTCCTTAGTGGGGATGTTGGCTTACCACTTAATTTTCCATTTGGAGAGGTCATTGCTGCCAAATATAAGTTGAAATGGATAACAGAAATAACCAAGTCTCCTTATTTAAAAAAAAAACAAAACCAAAAACCTAGAATTCACACAGGAGCCCTCATTCAAATGGCTCAAGTCAGTGTTCCTAATCCACCGCTCTGCCACTTCCTAGCCGTATGAACATGTCTACCGATCTCTCTACACCTGTATTCTGCCCTATCCCTAAAATTCGGGGGTACATATTACATGACTTTTAAGGTCTCTTCTACCTCTAAATCTTTGAGGCCCTCTTCCCTCTCATTACTACAACAGGGGGAAAGATCACAAGGAGCAGAGCAGCAGAATAGAAAGGGAGCTGGACGTGACATCAGGGTTTGAATCCCGCTCCATACAAGAGTTATGCAACTCTGGACAAGTCACTTCACATTCCTAGAGCCTCAGTTTCCTTATTTATAAAATGGGGTTAAAGGATACAAGCCTAACTCATAGGGCTGATATGAAAATTAAATGAAGTTCATTTATACAAAGCATTTTGCAAAGCTTAAAGGGCTATATAAATGTGAGTTATCTATCATTAATATTCTGATAGAAAGTCAACGAAATGATCAGACTTGGCTACTCTGATCAATACAATGACCCAAGACAATTCCAAATGACTCATTATGAAAAAATGCTATCCACCTCCAGAGAGAGAGAAATGAACTGTGAGTGCAAACGGAAGTATAATTTTCTCACTTTCTTTGTTTTTACTGCTCCTTTTTGCAATATGGCTAATGATTTCATGGGTATAATTGATATCATATTGCTTACGTTCTCAGTGGGTGGAGGAGAGGTGGGAGATAACTTGGAATTCAAAATTTAAAAAGAATGTTAAAAATAGTAATTTTTTTTTAAAAAATAAAAAGATTAAACACTAGAGTATAATTCCATCAATATACCATTATCATCATGATTATTTCATCTCTGTAATGGGAAGGTTAAGATGGGCTCATTTTGAAAAAGTGAATTTCATGCAGAAACCAAATTCATGGCCCAAAATACAATGGTGGACAGGCTAATGCTATGCTAAAGGCAGTCTACACCTTGAACTCAACTCACCTCTAGAATAAGTAATTTATCTTTTTACTCCCCTTTCCTGATCCTAATCTCTTTACTCAGGTTATTATTTTTTTAACGGTGGAGTAAATCACACCAGGGACAAAAAACTGACTCACAATACACAGCAGAGAAGCACTGTGATTACATGACTTAACCTGTGGAACTGCTGCATCATGGATTTTTGCACTAAGGAAAAGATATTTCCCATCTTTTCTGGATAGCTTACAAAAATAGTGGCATGTGCAGCTCACATACTGTCTCTAACAACAGCAAAAGGATTATAAAGCTGCTAAAACTTCCCTTCTCCTACTCCCCAATTCAATGAACATGGTATTTCAAATGGAGCCAACTGGGAGTTCTTGACCAAAGGTGTTAGTCATTGGAAGCATAAACACCAAGTTTCCTCTCTTTGATTCATCTCATGGGTGAATAAGAAGCCCAAAGAAGAAACTGTCTATCCTTAGCATTCTCTTTTTATTTCTAGCATCACCAACCAGATTGGCACTTGCTTCCTTCATGACCCTGATTCACCTGATCCAAACACCCCCTCTAGCATCTCTGCCTTAAGTCCTCAAGGCTGCCCACACGACCAAGTACAAGTACTTACCAAGAGTATAAGATGCAAGCAAACAGGAGTGTGGTACCCAGGCCCGTGACCAGAGTTTCATCTCTATAGAGCTCCTGGCCGAAGTTAGGCGAACAAATTGTTATGTTCTTCTGATTTTTATCCAAAACTTGAAAGGAAAAACAGAGTAACCACAGTCAGTGAGGAGCAGCCTGCCATCAACTCACAGAAGAAGATGATAACGTTCAGGGAAAAGCTAACCCAGTTTTTGAGAGTCTCTTGGACAGCAAGGAGATCAAATCAGTCAATCCTTAAAGAAATTAATTCAAACTATTCACTGGAAGGACAAATACTAAAGCTGAAGCCACATAATGAGAAGACAGGACTCACTGGAAAAGACCCTGATTTTGGGAAAGATTGAAGATAAGAGGAAAAGGAGGACAGCAGAGGAAGAGAAGGATAGATAGTGTCATGGAAGCAACAAACTTGAGCTTGGACAGACTTTGGGAGATAGTGCAGGATAAAAGGATCTGGCATGCCATGGTCCATGGGGTCACAAAGAGTCAGAGGACATGACTGAACAACAACAAAAACCCAGCTTGTGCTTTCCCTCAGAATCCCAAAGTGGGAGAGGCTTTGTTCTACAAAGTCAAACATTGTATAGGATATACTTTGGGGTATTTCTCTAGAGAAATAAACGTCAACTCTACCCCCTTACTTACTTGGGGTACACCAAGAGGAACTGGTATGCAAGAGATCTGCATCCCTATCTGGAACAAGTACTTGGACTCTGTTCTGGCTGGGAGCTGCCCTAAAGACAAGCTGTAGGACCAGGACAAGACAAATGTAGGACCAGGAGTCCTACATTTCCAAAAATCAACAGGCTCCTAGACTCATCTCTTCTAAAGAAGATGAGGAAACCCACACACTCTGTATTAGATAATTATACTAATAGCTTGGTGTCACTTTATAGGCTATTTCTTTGTAAATACCCCGTAAAGCAGGAGCTTTTATTTCATTTTGTTACTTCTGTACTGCCTAAGAAGGCAGGATAGTTAAAGAAGATGTTTAAGGTCGGGTCTTTTAAAAGAAAAACTTAAAAAAAAGTTATGTCATCTACTTTATCATAACAAATAACTTCCTTAATATTACCCAGTGTCCTGGCCCACAAATACCACAATTCTGAATACAGAGGTTGGGCTTAATTATTAGCTCTGACCACACATAATTAGCACAGATTGGAAATAACCCTAGAAATCATTTCACAAACATGCAAATCCTAGGTACTGAAGTTGCACTGAAATTATTATTAGCAATTAAGCTTTAAAAATAGCTATGCACACAGAGGTTTGGAGTGTGTTGGTTTTCAGCCCAATGGGAAAAATCTTTTCTTAAAGAGTACTGATCTCAGCCACAAATAGGCATTTTCTGTCTAAGTAGAGCCATCTGAAATTAAAAATAAATGTGCTCTCAGAGCTGGTGCAGCACTTCCAACATTTTACCAGAATCAAGTAGCACAATAGTCAAAACCTGGAGTCTGTGAAAAGCCATGAAAGAAATCAGGCTTAAAGCAAAAACATACAGGATATTCTCTGTCTTTTTTTTTTTAAAGAGAGAGCTAGTGCTTTAATAACATGATCTGAGTCTTCCACCTGCAACTCTTCATCTTTTGAAGAGCTACACAGAAAAAAAAAAATAGGCGTGGTACAAACCGAGTCTTCCAGTAGTAGACTAGACTATTGTGATGCGCACTGAATTTAAAGTTCCAGACAATAGGAGATTTGTCTATTTTATGCACAACCCAGCAGCTATGCTTAAGCTTTATATTATGAAGATAGCTTTGATAAAGATGAATCACTACTTTGTCTAAAAAAGTAAATGGTTTGAAGTTCAGAGCGGGGAAAAAACTTAGAACTTTATTTGCAAGGTTCAATCTTTGTTCATAGCAAGATTTCTATTGTTGTTTAGTCTATTAGTCATGACTTTGTGGCCCCATCTGGGATTTTCCTGGCACAGATACTGGAACAGTCTGCCATTTCAGTTTCCTGCTCATTTGACAGATGAGGAAACTGAGGCAAATAGGGTTAAATGATTTGCCCAGGGTCACACAGCTAGTAAATGTTTGAGGCCAGATTTGAACTCAGGTTCATCTAGCTGTCCTTTCTAATGCTCTTACTTTCGGCAAACTTTTGGCAAAGTCAACCACTTAGAAGGCAAGAGGCTTCCAAATGGGTATCAGACCAGCCAACAAATAAAGATGGGGCAGCCTTCCAGCTACCTGTGCTTCAGAAGAATCAAAGTATTTGTCATTTATGTATTCACAATTAAGGATTTCATTAGGTTAAAAGACCTCCAAGAAACAACTCATTTGAATTTTTATGTTTTCAAACAACTTAAAAATATGAAAGAAAAGTCCTTCCCCCACAAATCACACATACCCAACACAGATAATTAGTCAAAGCATCACTTACTTGTCTCCACAGGTTTGCTGGAGAGAGCTGAGAAGGTGAGATATGTGACGTAACAGCTAATGAGGCCAGATTGCAGTAACCCGGAGTGAGGCTGCCCTGAAAATGAAGAAGAGGCCCACGGTCAGAGAATCCCTAGAGGCCAGAAGAGGTCTTAGATGCCATCTGGTCCAACCCCTTTATTTTATAGAAACTGAGGTCCGAGATTCCAAACGTAGTCAAGAGCAGGGCCAAGATTCCAATCCAGGGTCTCTGACTCCAAATTCAAATGCTTTACGCCGTACCATGCTATTACAAAGATGGTACAAACATCAGGAAAGAGGAAACATCATTTTTTCCTAGTGGACATCCTCCAAATTTGGGTTTACAGGCTCCTAACAAAACTTCCTGATTCTGAAATTAGAGGCCTGCCATAGTTTGAGAGGAAGTGGGGAGAAGGAAATTACATATACTCTTACACAAAAGGTGCTTTCTGCTACTATCTAGAATTTCCAAAGATAATTAACCTTGATAATGTTTTTAACTTAATAAAATTTTAAAAAGTGCTTTCTGCTACTATCTAGAATTTCCAAAGATAATTAACCTTGATAATGTTTTTAACTTAATAAAATTTTAAAAAGTGCTTTCTGCTACTATCTAGAATTTCCAAAGATAATTAACCTTGATAATGTTTTTAACTTAATAAAATTTAAATATGTTTACATTTTAATTATTTATATATTATTTATTTTACTTATATTATTATATTCTTTATTTATTGTGTGTTGTAATATATTAATTATTACATATTAATATATTTTAAGGGGAACTTGCATTAATGAAAAGCAGGACTATACCTTGGCCCACGCTGCTACAGAATTTTTTGCCAACACCTCATGATAATGATGTTGAAATGGAACCAGCCCCAGGGGCATCCTGAAACTTAATCTGATTCCTAAGCACATTGTAAAAAAAGTGTCACTCCAATTATTGCTAGAGATCCCCAGTGGTGCAATTTGGTAACATCAGAGACATCTTGGGAGCAGAGCACTACAAATTCTATTCCACAGCTAGATGCACATCAGCCCCCTGGGGAGGGACGGCAAGATATCTATTTCTTCATGGGTAAAAGGACAAAGGCACTAATGCTTGATGGAGTCCTGAGTGAAGAACAAAACTGCTACCAATTAAGGAAGAAATCTATTGGGAGGCAGGCTCCAAGAAAGAGAGGAGTCCCTGGCTCCTAAGATGCTGGATTTTAAACCAAGAGGCTGACTGAGCCACAATTTAGTCATTAGCTCCCACATGGGAACATTAAACTTGTTTCATGACTAATCACTTTTGTTGGGATTTTTTTGGATTTATGATGATACTACAATTATGACAAGGGCTCACAAATTACTCATCGTGCTACTGAACCTTTAAAACCGAAATGAAAAATGCAGTGCCTACCACGGAAGCTTACCACGGATACCTCTCATAATGGGCCCTTCTCAGATGAAGTCATCGTGGCTTACAGTTTCCACCGAATAACCTTTTTTATGTCATGGACTGCACTGGCAGCCTGGTGAAGCCTACGGACCTCTTCTCAGAATGATGTTGTGCATTTTAAAAAATTCATGGTAGAAGAAAATGCTAAATTTAGTTAGAGGATAGTTGTTAGTTACTTAGTTAGAGGTTAGACGCTAGAGGTTAGAAAATAAAAATGTGTTTTTTTTTCCCCTCCAAGTTCATGGATTCCCTGAAATCTACCCATGAACCAAGGGGTCCATGGACCCTGAATTAAGAACTCCCAAATGTTCAAACAGATTGTTCATAAGGTCCCTTTGTGATGCAGGCACTGGGGGAGAGCACTAACATATGCCTTAATTAGGGGCCAAAGTTATCACGTCACACAGTGATGGGGAGAAGAATGGGAAGGGGATATATAGCCAGGCATATATTTAAATCTGCTCAACAAAGCTGCAATCACAACAGGCCTTGCTCACACTCTCACTGACAATAATGGACTTCGCATCCAAACTTCCCTAAGTCCCCCAAACCTTGTAGATTAGTTAATAAATCAGTCCTAATAATGTATTAGCCTCTAAGGCACTCAAGGGCACAAGCTTATTAACCTGACAACAATCTCCTCCGCCCTCCTGAAACTCTTTCTCCAGCTGTTAAGCAAGACAGCTATGGGGGAGCATGACAACAAGGTCATGTCATCATGGGAATCTATCATATCTTTCTTCACCCCAAAGATAAAAGCGCTGGCTTAGATCATCAAAAACGTGAGGGCAGCTCTAGGGCTAATGTGAATTCAAACATCTCCTTCTAATACATTATTTCTGAAATAGGAACAAAAATGCTCTCAACTTCCTGCTACAGAACCACCAGAACCACATGGCTCTAGGGGACGAGGTGTGTTCCTATGTTGTTAGTAACAACTCACACATGCCCTTCCAGATCTCTATGCCCTCCAAATTCCTAGAAGACAAGGACTAACTGAGTCTTTTAATATCCAGCACACAGCACAGTGCCTAGCTATGGAAAGGTGCTTAATATAATTTGGTTGAATTCCAACTTTTCAAAGCATTTTGACACCTATAATCTTAAAACTCAAAAGTGTGTAAGAAGAGATGTCATTAGTCCTTTTTGACACAAGGATAGGTTAAGTGATTTGCCTAATGGCACACATTTTGTTAACTGACAAAAGTCTTACTTTGACAAAGTCTTATTTTGCTGTGTTTGTATCCCTGAAACCTAGTAGGTCTTTCATAAATACTTAGTGATTGACTGAGCAATCCTAATCCTGACTCCTAGTCACCGTGTTCCACAACTATAAATACTATATATAGTATATACCATGCTATATACTGTATATAATATGTGTATACATATACACACACATATCATACACCATATATACATGCTATATAGTATATGTAATATATACATACTGTGTGTATATATACATACATATTGTATGTAGTGTATATATAGAGTATACATATATGTGTATATGTGTACATACATGTATATGTATGCATGCATGTATGTGTGTATACACTATAAATTCCCCCCCAATTTATGGCCTGTATGGGACAAAGGCCAGTAGACTCTAAGAACAGTTAGGTTATTATCTAGATCATAATATATTTACATGTGGCCCATTCCCCATCATACAAGCACTTCTGAAAATATGTGCCTTTGACACAAAGCCAAACTAGTCGGAGGTCTCGAAGAAAATAATTATCCCTTCCACATCTCGATTTTCTCATATCCAGGGTCTGAATAAGAAATTAAATGGGAATTTTGGAGGAGCTCTGTGGAAGCCATAGATAACACAGAGCTTATGACCAAATACTTAACTCAAATTTTAAAATAAGGTACAGTAAATACCCCATAAAAGAAAAAGAAAAAATTCAGACTTCTTTTCTGGTACAAAGGGAGGGCCAAACATTTTACACAGATTTTCCAGATTGTGGGCCGCCCAACATGTGGAAGGGATAATTCTAAGTATTTATTATTCCTGAGCTATTTCACTCGTGTCTCCAAGAACCCAGAGAGAGATGGCCTGAAAGAGCTAAATCTGCAGTTGGCCCTGCAAAAGGTAGGCTAAACTAGGGGCAACAGGACCTTCTGAGACCTCCTCTGTCCACATTACCCTCCAGTCCAGACCTAGTATTCCCACTGCCCCAGTCATTCCCTTCTAGGACCTGACACCCAAGCAAGTGCAGGATGGAATACAGCCAGGTATAGAGTATGCCCACAGCCCACCCAGGTTCCCCTAAGTTTATCGGGGATTTGGGTTTGACTAAATATGCTGATCCTTCCTACAGCCCCCTACAGATACCTGGGTCAGTGATGATGAGGGGCAAGGAATCCCACTGAGGCTTTAAAAATATTGTCTCATTTGGACCCCACAACAACCCCAAGAGGTAGGTGCTGTTATTATCCCCATTCTACAGATAAGAAATAATAATAATAGCTAACATTTATATCACACTTATTATGTGCTAGTCCCCGTGAGCCACAGCTATAATCCTACAAAGTACTGTGCAAACTGAACTTTAGATGTATTTTAAAGGCAGCAGGTCTACTTAAAAGAAAATCTATGAGGAAGTCTCTTATGGAGCAAAGATCTATTTGTAGTTATTTTGAATAACCCACTAATTTGCTGATTTTTACAAATTTAGTTAATAATTTTGTGTTCATCAAATCCTTTCTAAACGGCACATATCTACATGTGCATGTCATACTCAGTCTAGATGTGTGGGATGTAAACTGGGAACAGGATCCCTCGTGGAATCTCAGGTGGGTTTTCCAGTTCTCTTACTACCATCGACCTAACCACATTAGTGAATAAATGACGATACCTCAAATAGAAACCCACAGGGTTCTAGAGCAGAGGTGTCAAACTCAGTTATTTCCTGATGCCGGAACCAGATTAAAACATAACTGGGAAACATTTAACAAAATAAATGAAAATACAACATAGGTAATGTTAATTGGTGGTTGTCTTAAGTCAATATTTGAGTTTGACACCACCATTCTAGAGCTTTCTAGACAATGAGGCAGAGAGAGGGGAAAGAAGAAAAAGTCTTAGTCGCCATGCTTACGATTTTGTACACAGGGTGAGATGGCTACCAGTGAAATAAGCAGGCAGAGGCCTCCATTGACACCAACGAAAATCTTGTTCTGCAAGCAGCCTTCCTCACGTGTGTAAAACCAGGCCATCAATATCAGGCCCCCCACGGCAATCGTGTACATGAGAAGAGTCACCAGGGCGAGGAAGGCATACCACATTTTATTACGAACTGTGCCCGCAGTCCTATTTCCAAGAAGGGCAGAGAAAAAAAGAGGAAGATTAATCAGAGGATCCTTTGTCTTAGAATATACTCTTGGAGTAATAAATCCCTTGTATTCAGCCCCCAGGATGATGTAAGGAGTAGTACAAAAGGCACACACTGGCTTTCTGAAATAAATGCACCCCGTGACAATGCTAAATGAGCTGGGAAATGTTTGACCTACTTTGTTTAAGAAACTTATAAATGCCCATTGGAAACTGCTTCGGTCTTCTACTTCTGGCCAGGTCTAGGTCTGGGACACCCCCCACCATCTACCACCACCACTGCCTTAAATGGATGCTTGTTTTCAGAACTTCTGAGTTCTGGAAACACGTATGTTTTTACTCTGGGACATCTTCATGAACTCCTGAAAGGAAAACCATTAGTCACAATGCATGATTACATGATAGAGTAGGATGAATTTTGGCACATACTTAAGTCAGTTCTCCTCCAAGGCTCTTGTTCAAAGAAGCTTTCCTTACAATTCAAATAGCCTAGTAGTTTTATGAGGTCTTACCATGACATTCCCCTGCTCAAGAAGCTTCAATGGTTGGCTCCCCATTGCCTCTAGGATAAACAGCCAACATGTATGTAGTGATTACTATGTGCCGGACACTGTGCTAAGCAGTTCACAATTATCATCTGATTTGATCCTCACAACAACCCTGAGAAATGGGTGCTGTTTTATTCTCATTTTACATGTGGAAACTAAGGCAAACAGAAGTGAAGTGACTTGCCCAGGGTCACACAGCTAGTAAGAGCCAACATAAGATTTGAACCCAGGTCTTCCGGACTCTAGGCCCAGGTCTCTATCCACTGTGCCACCAATTGCCTAAACAAAGTCCTTTTGGCTTTTAAAGCCCTTCACAATCTAGCTTCTAGGTAGATGTCATGTTCCTCCCCTTTGCATACTCTACTCAGGCCAAACTGGCATAATCTGTTCTTTTCACATCTCCTTTCTCCAAGTTTCTGCACACGTCATGCCCTATACCACCTTCAATGTCCTCCTCACTTCTGCCTCTAGGAGCTCACAGATCTTATCAATTCAAGTTTCAACTTCCTTCCTGAGGCCTTTTCCTGAATCTCCTAGTTTAGGAGTGGGGAACCTGCAGCCTCAGTTTCCTCATCTTATAAATAAGGATTCAGTCAAAGGGCCACACTTGAGGACCTAGAAGGTCACACATGGCCTCAAGACTGCAGATTCACTGTCTTTCATACTCACTACTTTGGTAGCCCTGTGATTTAGAAAATGAGTTATCTATATCTGTGATAGAATTATTACTTACCGGGGTTTCCCATGCTCTCTCTCTCTCCTTAACATCCCAGCCCATACCAGTCTCCCACTCACGTGGAGTTCAGTATTCTCAGACTTGGTTTATGTCCTGAGACTGACAGAGTCACCATACACTGTCCGGCTGACCAGACAGGTTTCCAGAAAGAGGACAAGGAAGCCACACGTCTACCGAAACTGAAATTAAGTGCTACTATATCCTTACCAATATCCTTTCTAGGCCATATCTAGGTAAAATCTCTTTTGTAAACTGTTCCAATGATGATGAGAATCTCACTTTAAGATCTTAAAAGTGAACTAACAGGGTGCTGATAGAAGGCCCATTCCTACCATTACAGATACCCCTTACAACCCCTCTGGTACCTTCTCAATCTGTGTAATTCTTCCCATGTCTTTCCATATATCCTCCAGAGAGGACAGTCAATGTTTTTATACTAGCTCCTTCCATATTTAAGGGATACCATTTATTAGCCTGAACCACCCATCTTTTGGTTACAATTCTTGCTTCATGACCAGCTCATAGCCACTGCACAGGAAAAAATTAATTTGATGATGCCTTTTATACTACAATTCATATGAAAGTAATGGTCTGTCAGTCAAGAATTTATTAAGCCCTACTATGCACCAGGCACTCTGCTAAGTGCTGGGGATACAAAGAAAGGCAAAAGACAGTTTTTTAACACAGGAACATACTACAGCCTACTTACGCTCAACACAAGTTTTTCCACTGCCCTTTTGGTTTTTTATAATTTTGATTTTTCTCTAACAGTGGTCTTCTATGATCCAAGGTAATAAATCATTCCTAAAAGAACACTGGAGTTAAAGAAATGTGCTGTTGTATAGGGATCTTTGAAAGCAGAGGACAATTTACCAAAGGGAATCCATCCCAATCTCTTCTTCCTACTCAATTTATATATCAACAGAATCTGTTTAAGACACATGAACTAATTCAATCAGCTAACAATTCAACTAAATGTCACCCCCTGGAGAATTTGATTTTTCATCCACTTTGTTTTTCCAGCATGGATGGTTTAATCAACTTCTTTCACATTAACGTGGATTTCACTGAAGCTTGAGAGGCTATTCTGGGGCTTGTCAGTATAATATACAAACAGGAGAATTTAGATAGCTTTGTTATCAATAGGGAATCCATACTTTGTTTCAACTCTATACAGATCATCTTCTCTGACAATGAAAAATAACTTAGGAGAGCATTTATTTATGCATTTTGCATCTTGTTTGATTCCATATACTGCTGAAGATAAGGTTATCTTTGTGGTCACATATGTCCCAGAGTCTCATTTGGATGTATGGAAAGCACCTTACTGGAGATGTCCAAGCTTGCTTTCTGTTCTGATCAGTCATATATTTAAGAGGGCCTAGTGGTCATCTAGTCTGACTTCATTTTATAGAGGAGGGCATTGAGGCCCACAGAGTCCTGATGGCTTGCCTAAGGTTTCAAATAATAAGAAGGAGAGACAAAATTAGAAGCCACCAATATTCAATATCCTCCAGGCAATCTTCTTTCCATTACACCAAGTTACCAGATTCTTTTTAAAAAGAAATCAATAAAAGAATGACATTGAGATTTTTATATTTTCTAAACCTCTCAGTTAGCAATTAGTGAATTCCTTGAGATGGCATTTGAAACAGTTAACCTTCTCATGCATTCACGAAGAGTCAAAATTTGAGAAATAATAAAGTAGGTGCGTGGGTCAGTAATTGTTGTTCTCTCATTGGTTGCCTCTAAGGGGTGGGAAGGACTTAGGGCAGAGAGGGAGCACTGGTTATGCCTTTTTCCATTCTTTTAGAATATTCTCTGAGATATCTCAAAGACAAAAAAAATCCCTGGTGATCTTAGAATTGTGGTGCCCATATTGCCTTTCCTTTGTATATAATTGGTCAGGTCCATATGCTTTTCTCAATTTCATCTTTTTAAAAGTCACTTCCATTTCCATATACAAATATTATCGCTTCACTATCACTGTAATGAAAACAGATCACTATAAAATTGTGATTAAAATGCTAATATATCTGAGGCCCTTCCCAGTTTCATCTATGAATGTCTTTGTGATAATATGACTCAATCGAATCTCATGCCAAGTTATCATCCCATGCTGTTTTATGAGGCATCACACTCAATCTTCCGTCATCCTCTAAGATGTTTTTGCAAATGAGGCTATAAACTACATCAACTTAGTACTTGGTAAAGAGATTAAATGTTGGCTGACTGAGGCTTCTGGGTTCTTTTGGAATCCTTGTGGTTATGACAGAAATGGTGACAGTTAACGGTTGTTGCTTCTATTCATTGTTCAGAGTTGAAAACATTTAAACAGGTTGGACCAGGGCCATTCTAATTACTCACAATCTTACCATTACCCTTTCTTCTAATTTGATCTTTACTTTGACTTCTGTTATAACCAGGGGATAAACTGACTCTACAAAGAGAGTTGATTATGAAAAAATTATTTTTAATTTTTAATTAAATTAATTAATTTTAATGATTTAAAGGCATAGAAGGCACACATTCAAATCTGCAGATGACATGAAACTGTAAAGGACAGCTAATGTACTGCATGACAGGCAAGTGACTAACTGAATCTCAATACGGTATAAAGTGGATGTCAATAGGGATGTGGTTTGGTACCACGTATGAAATCATTCACTGGTCACCAGACAATGGTCATACATTAAGAGTATCAAGTAACATTAGTGTGATGTCTTAGCACTGCCTAATCTTCCCCCCATCTCCACCACCACTGGAGAAGGGAAGGAGTCACAGACCGAATGGCATTCTGTATTTGTCTTTTTTTTTTTTATGAGTTAGCACAGACACACAAAAAATCAGTTGGCAGTTAATTCTGTGGTGATAGGCTTCCTCAAAGCTTAACTCATTAGGTCTTTAAATAATTGCCAACTTCTGTGTCAGTAGGCTTATATTCATAAGATGAAGGATTTCTATCTTAGACGCCTTCATTTTATGGATGAGGAAACTGAAGGACTGCTCTAGAGTCACCAGGCTAGTATGTTTGAGAGGATTTGGAGTCAGGTCCTCTAGACTCTAAGCCCAATGTTCCTGAAGTCTTTCAGAATTGGTAGAACTTAAGACCATAGAAAGAGATCTCAGGGGTCGGGAACCTACAGCCTCGAGGTCACAGGTGACCCTCCAGGTCCTTGGGTGCGGCCTTTTGACTTAATCCAAACTTCACAGAACAAATCCCCTTAATAAAAGGATGTGTTCTGTAAAACTTGGTCAAAAGGCCGCACCCAAGGACCTAGAGAGCCACCTGTGGCCTCGAGGCTATAGATTCCCTCTCTGATTTAGTCTAATCCTCTTGTTTTACAGATAAAGAAACTGAGGCCCAGAGAGGGTGAAGTGACTTGTCCAATATCCAATAGGTAGTATTAGAAGTGGAATTTGAAGAAAGGAGATTTGAACCGAGGTCCTCCGAGTCCAGAAGCAGCAATCGTTTCTCTGTTCACTGCCTGCACTCTACTGACATACCTTTCAAGAACTTGGGGTCACCTCCATGCATTAAAGTAGGAGAGGGGGAGGGGGGTTTCCAGTCTTTAAAATGAGTCAAAAGGGCTTCTGATGAATATTTTCAAGGAGCTTCCCCCCCCACTCCCCACCCTCAGATAAAGGTGATTTCCTAGATGACTACATTGCTTTGAACTTTTCCCTCTTCTACTAAAATGATGATGATGATGACAATGATGATGATGATGATGATGATGGGAAAGGAAAGGGAATAGGCATTTATAGAACTATGTGCCAGGCACTGTGCTAAACACTTTTTACAAACATTATCTCACTTGATTTTCACAACAACCCTGAGAGGTAAGTGCTATTATTATCCCCATTTTATAGTTGGGGAAACTGAGGCAAACAAAGGTTAAATTATTTGCCCAGGGTAATATAGCTAGTAAATGTCTGAGGCCAGATAAGAACTAAGGTCTCACTGACTCTATGCCCAGCCCAGCGCTCTCAGTTCACAAGCAGATGGAAAAAAAAATTTGAACACCACACATTTCAATAAACCTGTCAAAACAGTGTCTTTTAAGATCTTTGAGATACATTTGCTTCCCTGCTCTGCTATGAATAGGCCTGCCCTCTGGGAGAAGGGCCAGGAAACGGGCTGGTGCAGAAGCAGACAGCACCAGACTGCTGGCACGCTGAAACTGGACATATAAACTGCTGGCCGGGCTCTGGTCCTTGAGTAGGACGGGGAAAAATCAGTTAGAGAGTACTTGAATCTTAACTGAAAATCCAGAAGATTTCTAATTAGAAGAGAAAAAAATCTTCACACAGCACTGGGTTATGTGGGATCCTCTTTCTCAAAATCACTTTTAAAAGTGTGGAAGAAAGAAATATACCCATTTTCTGCATTATGAGGTCTTGATTGAAGGAAAAAACCCTACTAAATTGGATCATTATGAGTGACATTATTACTGGCCCAGGTAGTTAATTCTTTATTTTAAAGACAGAACTATATACTTAGTAAATACTAATAAAGGATTTTCATTGAGATATCAGTTGCAAGGTCAGGAAGGACACAAGGGACATTCACTCTGCAGGTTTAAACTGTGATTTCTAAAAAGTTTTAAAGCAATCCAATCATTTTCAGAAGTGCCACCCAACAAAACAGCATGGATATTACAGTACCAGAAAAAAAAATGGCTTCAGAAGTAAGCAAAACATTACAGAGCCAAAAAACCAAGAGGCAGTCCCAAGAGAAGACTATTTGTTTTATAGGCAAATAAATGATACTTTGCCAAGGACACTAGGTTTTTACTGTAAAGTTCCCTCTTTCAAATATGTACCTAGTTTCCGGAGGAAAAAAAAAGCTTGGAGAAAAAAAATTGATGAAGTCTTATAAAAAATTTATAATAAATGTACATAAGTGACTTTAGGATTGCAGAGCTGGAAAAGATTCCAGTGGGAGTCCATCTCTCATTTTATACAGATGAAGACACGAAGGCCCAGAAATGCTAACTATCTTGATCAAGATCATATATATAAGTTCAGAGGCATAACTTGGATTTTAACTTGGGTTCTTTCACTCTAAATCCATAGCTCTTTCCAGTTACCACACTGCCTCTTGTTTATGGAAACTACCAAATATGATATAGGATGTCCAAAACAAGTAGGAAGACTGAACACCAAAATGGAGTCACATGAAATAATTTTGACCAAAGGGTCAGACTCAGCAATAAGGATCATCAAGGAGGAAGGAGGTGGTGAGCAGTATGGCTGAAAGACCCAACATTACAAATACACATACACACACACACACACACATAAATATGTGTGTAATAAATAAATATGTATTTAAATATGTATATAAATATAAATGTATATAAATATGTGTGTAATAAATAAATATGTGTATTTATTACTCAGCACATATAATTAGGTTTCTGCCATGAGGATCTTAAGTGCCTCCATAACCACCCAGTAGGACCGAGGCATACTCTAATATTTAGTAGATCATAAACTAATTTTGAACTTTTTGTTAGAGCACATGAGAAAAATATTTTCTTAAGTTTAAAAAACAGAATAACTAGGCTAAGAAACCTCCTGAAAGAAAAAAAAGAATATTCATGCATTGGATATAAATTGACTTTGACAAGCATTACTACTATGTTTTATTATAGTGGTACATACCAGTTTTTATTCCATTTATGTGCAAACTCCACAAGTAGGATGAGCTGAATTCCTATAAAGACAAATGCTCCAATGGCCCCCACATAGCGCCATGCTGCAAAGCAGAAATCGACACAAAGGAAAAAAAAATCAGTAAATTCAATTTAAGACTTAACTCATCTATATATTATTATTGCATTTTAGGGCTTATAAATTTATATATTATTACATTTTGTAGCTTATAAGGCTACATTTCTGAATGAGATATACATTTTAAAATATGACCAATAAGAGAATTTATTTTTCTTGACTATCATATTTGTTACAAGGATTTTGTCTTTTTTTTTTTCCTGTAGGAAGTTGAGAGGTCAGGGGAGAGAAGGGAAAGAAAATAAATGCTTGTTAAACTACTTTCTGGGGTTTTTTAAATTATAGTTGCATAATATTCATTAATTAGCCCAGAATCAAAGGGATACAGTCAAGGAGCAAGAACATAAATAATACGAAAAGAAAACAAGTGCAAAACCTATAGACTGGGTGGAAACAGAGGGACATAAGTAATTTTCTGAAGCAGGTCCAAGAAAACTATTGTTTTGATCAATAAACACCCTTTGGCTTACACCAGTGGTTAATTTCACAAGGCAAGTAAGAAAGCAAAATGGAGCCCCCAAACTCCCTATTGTTACCTTTCAGAAATGTGTCCTGGTCTGGGATGAAGAATGCTCCTGAGCACATGGCCACCAACAGTAAAAGTTTAATGAACCAGAATCTGGCAGGGAGGAAAACAAGGGGGAAATGAATTTAAATGTTAAGTACAAAATAAAAATACAAGAAAGGAGGATAACTTGTTTACAAAAGAGACATCCTAAAAGAAATAAGAGTAATCAATTCAATCTAGGTCCGCTTTCAACCTGTTCTTTGAAAAAATGGTCTCTCAAATTAACTACAAAAAACATATGAAGGAAGACACTATCTGCATCCAGAGAAAGAACTGATAAATAAAATAGAATGATAGAGGCATAGAATGATTTTACATATGTTTACATACATATGTACACACACACAATTGTGTCTAGTGGCAGCCATTTCTAGAGTAGAGTGGGGGAGAGGGAAGAAAAAAGAAATTTACATAACTTTATTATGTATTTAAAGAGAATAGCAAATTGTACATAGTAGAATTGCAGTTTCATGTGCAATAATCTTTTTTTAATTATACTGTTATAGAAATGCTTGTTTTATTCCATGATAAAAATAAAATATTTTATATTCCATATAAAAAAAGTTAAAAAAAAGAAAAAGAAAAATATGACCTCTTGAAACTAAATGCAAATAATTATTACTGCGATTACAGAGAGCTGGGCTCTGGAGACTTATTTAAAATAAAAACTCCACAACTGAAGAGAGAGAAAGATAAGCTGGGTAAAGGTCCTGACACAAGGAATGACCTTGGTGTTTTTCATTTCTTACTGCCACATTTCACAAAGAGGATTTTCACCATCTTCAGACTTAAATTTCTCCAGACCTCAAGATCCCCCTGCACCCCAACAACACACCTCCTTCTAGCTATATTTCAGCTGAAGGGCAGGGGGAGAGTGTGAGGAACATCACCCTTCAAAAGGAATCAGAGATTCCCCAGAACTGTAAGGAAACTGGCAGGACAGGGAAACAGAGGCAGCTAGGTGGCACAGTGGACAGAGTGCCAGTCCTAGAGTCAGAGGATCTGAGTTCAAATCCAGACCCAGACAATTAGTAACTGTGTGACCCTGGGCACATCACTTAACACTGCTTGCCTCAATTTCCCTATCTGTAAAATGATCATGACTAAAATGACTGAACTTCAACAACAAAGGGAAACAGGAACCCACATGACAGCCACTCACCCATTGTGAATGTAGGCCCGGCAACTCTTACTGTTGTTAATCTTGATTGTAAATAAGCAGAAGATGAAGAAGAAACAGGCCATTCCAAAACACACTCTGTACACCGCAGAGTAGCCCACTAGCTTCTCACAAGTGTCCCCTGCTTTAATGCCTTTACAGATGTCTTCATAAAAAGGAATCTGAATGGAGAGGAAAGAAGAAATAATTTTTAAAACTGGCTAACACACATGCCTCCATATCGTCAAGGCCTTAGGGTAGGGCTGAGGGAAAATAAGGTATGGAGAAACAAGGTTTAAGACAGACAAAATTATTTTCCAAGAACCTTTTTTCCCCTGAAAGATTTTAAATTATTGAGGGGCATGGAGTGGGAGAAGAGAATAAGAATTAAGAGCCTACTATGTGGCAGGCACTGTGCAAAGCACTTCATTAATATTATTTATTTTATCCTCACAAAAATTATTATCCCCATTTTACAGTGGAAGAAACTGAAGCTGACAGGTTAAGTGACTTGCCCAAGGTCTCATAGCTAGTAGGTATCTAAGGCTGTATTTGAACTCAGAAACACTAACCCATTGTACCACTTAGTTGTCTAGTTAGAATAACGGATGGAGGGAGAGAATCAATATGATACCTACATATTACCACTCCGCCTTAGCTATACTTCAATAATTCATAAAAGTCCAATGGGAAAATATGTATGTATATGGAATGAGATTATTGCAATTTTCATTAGTGAGGTTAGCAATACCATACAACTCTCACAAGAGAAGGAAAGAAAGCCTGTCAGCTTTCTCCTTGGCAAGACTGAAAATTCCTACCGCTGACCATAATCTCCTGTCTTTCCAGTTCTCCCTGTGACTCACTCCTCCTAAAGTTCTCCTCTGTGCAGAGGAAAACATGCAGTCAGTCATTCCATCCCTTACTTCCCCAGGCCAGCCAGCCATCATTCCTGATTTATAGCCAGGCCATATTCCCTTCAACATCTTGACCCTCTAAGTTCATAAGTTCAATTTTATAATGTTCCTGACATTGAATCCCTTGCCCACCATTCAAATAAATGCACAAATCAATAAGTTCATTCATTAATTGAACTAGGCCCTGTCCCAGGCTTTGACATAAAGACAAAAAGTAAACTGTTTCCCACAGCATCCAGGTAAATATCTAAGTTCATCCACAGCATAGATGCCATGACCTAAGTTGGGTGGGGGTGCTCTACCCCTCCTCCTCCAGTTTACCCTTTGGGTTTGGTTTCTGTTTAGTCTATTTTTTTTTTGGTCCTTTTTCAGTTCTAGGTACAGGTGAATCCCCACCGAATCCAGAATGAGCCAAAGTGACCTTAGAAGTTAGATTTGGAGCCAGATTTGCAGGCAGGCAGCCCAGTAGGAAAATGGAAACCCTGAGAAGCCAGGGTGCCTGGGACTCAAGCCCAAAAGGAACTCTGGACTTGGAACCCAGGACTGTTCTATATAGGAACTGCTCCAAACTATGAACCACTTAATCCTCCAGAGAAAAGGTGAGGGGAGCAGGGTAGGGATTATGCCTTGGTGTCAGGGGGAAATTGTGGAGGGGAATGTATGTTCATTCTTTCTGTCTTTGAAGTAGATATTCCTTTGTAAAAGCGAGTCTTGTAATTGGTTAAATGGAACAGGGGTGCGGGAGACCATCCCCCCACCATCCACGGGGGAATTGTGCCAGGGACAAAGAGCTTAGACACCACCCACGAAATTCCCTTAAAGAGAACCCTGAGGGAGAGGTGAAATGTAACACACCTGACCTTTGAACAATGGGGGTGGGGGGGAGAAGAGTGGTCACTGTTACATATGGGGCCTGGGATAAAATTGAGTCCTTCAAATTTGCAGGGACCCCTAAACTACATCCCTAAACTATGTCACAGCTTCCTCACAACAACCCTGTGAGATTAGAGGTATAAGTATTATTACTTCCATTTTGTAGATGAGGAAACTTCCAGGTCAAATATTAACTGGTAGAAGTGCGGCTGAGGTCCAGGTTTTCTGAGTAGTCAGCATCCTCTGCACCATACCATGCTATCTCTTAGGCAACTAGAGGGTGTAATGGATAGAGTCAGGAAAACTCATCTTCCTGAGTTTAAATCAGGACTCAACACTTCTAGTGTGACCCTGGGCAAGTTACTTAACCCTGTTTGCCTCAGTTTCCTCATCTGTCAAACAAGCTGGAGAAGGAAATGGCAAACTACTCCAGTACCTTTGCCAACAAAACTCCAAAACGGGGTCATGAAAATTAGGACATGACTGAAAACAAAAACAGCAATAAAAGGCTCTCTGTTCACAGCATGGTTATTATAGCTAACTACACCATCACACAAGAAGGACCTCTAACCCTTGATGTTGGAACGGGGGTGCCTTCAATTCAGGAATAGCTGAATAAGTTGTGATACAGGAATGACATCATAAACTGTGAATGTAAATAAAAGGAAACCAGAAGGCTGGCTTCTGACGCAGAACTGACATCAAAGGGAGTGAAGGGACAGCGACCTGGAGGCCAGTCGACGTTAGCAACAAGAATCTGGTCAGGGTAATGCATTAAGATAGAGTGAACCTTAAAGGAGACAAGGGTGCTGAGTGATAGTAGCAGTGGGGAGTAAGGAGCAAGAGGAAGGTGACTCTGCAAGCACAGGAAAAGTGCCAGGAAATTAAGACCCTTCCATAGAAGGGTAAGTTTCCAGGAATGCAAAAAGATGGAAACAGCATGAGAGCAGATGGAATATGCAGAGAGAGCTTGAGAACAAGGGTTGTCACAATCGAAAGGAAAGTGAAGAGGAGGTCTGGGACTGTGAGGGTGTAGGTCTAAGACAGACACGGATGAAGGCTCCAGGAGAATTAGCAAAGAAGGAGGTTTCTGCCTTCTAAACACTGAATCAATGGGTCATTCACACACCTCAGCCCAAATAGAGAGAACCCCACCTTCCAAATACTTACCAAAACCTTCTATACATTCTAGACATGATTTAATACAGTGTCAGCATTTAACAAAATGCTAAATATATACAGGGAAAAGAAGGCTAAATTTTAATATGGATAATTTGCTCTGGTCAAATATTTGTTGTTCCAAGCCCTTTCCTAGTTTTTAATAAAGAAAACACACACCACACACATATTCCATACTAAAAAGATAAATATATCTCAGGCCAAAGGGTGTCACCTCCTTAGACTGACCAAACATCAGAAGAAACCTCTCCTGAACATTAAACTCACTAATTTGTCTGTGCTAGTCTTGTATCAACTTCTCTGCAAATAAATGACCACACAGAAGGTTAGGTGAAACAAATTCAAGGTCAAAAATTACTAAAAATACCCAATTCACAAATAACATAACTAGTCTCTGTTCATCTAGAAGCCAGTAACTGTTCCTAGACCCATGGGCCCTCTACAAGCATACCCCATTTCAGACAAATGTAAAAAAATTTCAGACTTATACAACAAATTAAGAGGTAATTATTCACTTTACATTATTAATTTAAGATAAGATGCCTTTACTAGTACACTGAAACTATCCAATGGATTTTCAAAAAAAAAAATCAGATATATATGAAGAAAGTTTTAAGGTGAAGTATGCCTATAGACAAATATTTTATTTAATAGAAAAATTAGTACATTGTGAACCAACACACTACAGATCGTGACAAGAAGAAAATGATACCTGGAAAAAAAAGCATTTCTGTGCACACATGAGACCGCTTGCCCAAGATAATCCAAAGTTCATCAGACCTGGAGTCAGAAGACCTAGATTTGAATCCTGGGCTCTACTATCTGTGACTTTGGACCAATCACTTAATATCTCTGGGTCCTACTTTTTTCATTTGTAAGTAAAAGGGTTGGACTAAATCTCTAAAGTCCCTCTCTACTCTTAACTTCCAGGATCTCTGGCATTCCAATAAGAAAAAAAGGTGGAAAGACTGGCCAACAAATGGAGAAAAAGCAGATTGGCCAATTCTGTTTGTTTCCCAGACATGGGAAACATAGTTTTGGGGTTTTTATTTTTAAAAAGAGACAGAGAGAAACAGAGACCGAGGTGGGGGGGAAGGGGAGGGGGAGGGGGAGAGGGAGAGAGGGAGAGAGAGAGAGA